TATGTCAAGCCCAAGGTTATTGGAGGTGGGTGTGCTAATCTAAATAATTACCAATTGGGGTATATATACATATATATATATATATATATAAGTAATGTAAATAATTTTATGGATGTACATATTTGTCGGAGGCCGATCTTCTTCCATCTCAAATATCCGGTTTTCGTAGTGAGCGTAAGAAATTGAGCGAAGAGGAAAGTTAACTCTTTAAGTCCTTTTAGTTTAACACTTTTTATTTAACATAAACTGCACTGTTAACTTAATAAATTAAACCGAACTTTATTAATAAAAGAGACGCAAGCGATTCGTGCGTGCCGGGCCATTTATCTCGTTGTTATTATTCCTTTTTCTTGTCTCCCTTGACAACCGCCTGGTCGCACGCTTCACTAGAACGGTTAACTTCTCATCCCGCTCTCGCCTCTGAATACTATATCACCAGAAGAATCCAAACGCACCATCATATTTATTAAAATAAAATACAAATATAAAAGGCAGAAAAGGTAAATTCACATATTAAATGATAAGTAAATAATGGGAAACCTTAATATTTTTATTTTACAGGAGCGGAATTCAGTGTTGAGGCTTGAAGTTATGTCGTTAAATTTCCAGTTCCAATAATTGATTTAATCTGAAATAAATAACATTAATTAATATTAATCATGCTATTTTATATTTTATTTTTATCAAAACTGTCTCAATACTATTCTAATGCTGAAATATGTTAAAATATGAATAAATACTTAACTTTGTATGTAATTATTTTAAAATTATTTAAGACAAGGTGACGTATATAAAATCAGATTATAAATAGACATTGGTCAATGAGTATACTGTAAATAAACTATTTAATTTTTTGTTTATATATATATATATGTATAACGTACATGTAAGGGAAAATAAATTTGGGTCATATGACATGTACGTACATACAAAATACCGTTTGAACATCATACATAAACATTATACGTAAGAAATTAACGAACAGAACATACGTAAAGAAGAATTTATATATAATGTATATATTAATGTATTTATATATTCGCTAATCGCATAAACAAAACTTTGGTATGTATCAGTCAGTCAGTTGCTAATAGAGTGACTTTTTTTATTTCAAAACATAAGATGAAAAACTAAAATGTGCCGATAATAATATTATAATGAATTATATTGTAATCTTATAGTAACTAATCATACATTAACGAAACGCCATGCGTATAAACTCTATAAAAACGTTTTTACAAAACACTACATAAAATAAACAAAAAGCTAGGATTGCATTCCAAAACTTACTTTTTGAGGAAAATTTTACTGAAAATCTGTAGTATATTTCACGTAAACTATGTTGACATTTTTCTGAAAGGAGATTTTAGAATGCACCTTAGAAATATTAACACATTAGTATAACTTAGTAAAATAATGTACCGATGCCCACAAATAAAATATAATAGAATATATATATAAACGAATAAACTGAGAGCAAATTAAACAGAATTGTAGAAAGAAAATTAATTAAAATCCAAAAATTAATAATCCATTATTATACGTGATAAAATAAAATAGTTTTATTTAACTTTTGTCGACTTGTTCCACGTTCCTTTAAATGTCGCTCTGTCATCTTTTTGTAATAAGTTAAAGTACGTAATTTGATATATTTTGATGCTATTATTTTGATAATTTGAGCCTCATGAAGATCTTCTTTATGTATTTATGTATATCTTCTTTATATATCTCCCATGTTATCGGTTATAGGATGTTCAGGTGTAAACATTTTTCTAATGTTGGGCAATAACATCTGTACAGTATTTATCACAATGTTACGTTTAAAATTTGTTCCTCGTATATCACATAAAGTTAATTTTGTTTTAAAAATCTTCTCTACAGTTTCCACAATTTTAAAGACTGCATTTGACGGATAACAACTTTCCGCGATTTACAAAAATTGTAAATGAATTATATTTATTAACGTTTACTGTATAATTATGACATTTATCAGAAATTACCACATTGTAATCAATTAAAATACTCGCACAATGATGGCAATGCATTTCTTTTAATAGTGTACGAACAATAGAACCAGCTATATAATATAAAATATTTTCTTGTATACCTGAAAAATTTATATTATCTACCATATTAAACAATTTTTCTAATTCCTCTGAATTTTGACATGTATCATAATCATATGTAACACGTTTTGGTTTTCGAAATTTTAATATGGAGTAGGTTTCGGAAATGTCACCTAAACAATTTGCATTAACACTAGCACGAACAGCATTTCGAAATAAGAGTTGTCGTAAAGCCCATTTGAATTGTAACACATTCGGATTGTTGTTCCATCCACCACGTCTTCTTATGCATGAAAAATATAATTCTAAGTGAGAACACTTGTATGTCAAAACATATTTTAAAGGTTCCTCTTTTTTATACATATATCAGATCACATGCCAAATTATAATAACTTTGAACATTTATTTGAAATCCTAATGCAAATGTATTTCGAGGATGGAGAAAAATATTCGTGCCATTTATTTTTAAATGAATGTTATGCTATCATTTGAAATGAATGTTATGCTATCATCAAATACTTGTTTAATTAATTTTAAGTTATTTATCATCATTAGTGACTTAAAACCTTTACCATAACTACTTCTTGAATTCATTATGTCGAATAATCTATCAATAACACGAATAAAATTGGTTGTTGCTTCACTACCTTTAAAATCTTTGTTTCCGCTTGTTCTAAGAAAATCAATAGCATCTGCTACAGAGCTACTCAATGTCTGTGCTGCTAGACGCACATTCATTTTATTATTTTTAAAGTAAATATGATTAAAACTTATTTTATTAGCCAATTTCAAATCTTCCTCTTCTTGAAGCATGTACAATTTTTCTATATAACTAAATGAGATTAAGCCAAGTTCTGATGTTATATTACATTCTGCAAAAGTATTTCGTGCTAGTTTAAGTACATGACATGGATCTAATATGCAGTAAATATTTGATTCATTATGAGGATGTTTAAAAAGGCTTTTTATATTATTACCAGTAATAGTACAGCCAAGTGATGTAAAAGTTGTAAGATTGCTTTTAGCTCCATCACATGTTATAGAACGTACTATTATACCTACTTCATATAGTTTCTCAATCGCAACTTTAATTAATTGTGTTTGAATGTTTGCATTAATTTTATTAACAAAAAAATAAGCTATCGGACATTTGAATCTATTAGTATACGAGATAATTTGAAACACTAGAGCTTCTGTTGCTAAATCTTCAGAATTATAATGTAAGAAGCCACCATAATCAACATAGCCTATATTTTTATCAACTTTAATGTCATGTATTACTTGTGTCCGTATAGCCATTGAATCGAATATTAGAGCAACATCTTTCAATGGTTTTTTTGATACTTCTGCTTGTAAATATTCGAAAACCTCTGTCAAGAAACCAACGTTACAACTATAATTACTTAACCATTTACGCAACATTGACGGATGGGGAAGAAATAAAGTTTCTCGAACAAAGTCATAGGCTTTAGGACTATAAAAATATGTTAAAGCAAATTGTTTCATTTGTGGTGTATCCGTCTCCCTGTTTTTGCAACATTTTGGTTCCTATACTCATTTAAAATGCATTCGAATTTTGAACCATTAAAATTGTTACTTAATACCTGCGCAAGATCCGAATTATGCAAGTTATTCCTTTTTAATGTGTCAATAAGATTATGCATTGTAGTAATGGCTAGCCCCCGACGATGTAAACGTTTTTGTAAAATGTGTATTTTTCTTTGTAGTTGTATTTGTTTTTCTGCTATCCTGTATTTTGTAGGAGATACTTGTATCATATCCACAGTATTCATATCCACAGTATTCATATCCACAGTATTCATATCCACAGATGCCCGGTTTTTTGTCTGCAATAAAATTAAACTTTTTCAAAGTAAAAGTAAAATATTAAAGTATTAATTCAGATAACACAATGTATATAATTATACTGACAATATACAGCCATGTTCTGCTAATAAAAACATGATAACAAATCTGTAGCAAATACGACAGTTATGTAATTATTTGTTTTGTGTTAATTATTTGCGAATATTTGTTTTATTTTTATTTGCTATCAACTTTAAATTTAATTTGAATGTTGGAAAAAAACAGCAAATGACTAGCAACTCTAATCACAAGTATATATAATTATACTCGAATATGTCGTGATACATTATTATCTGAGTAATTTATAATTTACATATATGTATACCGTTTTATCCATTTTTTCTGTAGATGAAGTCTGCTCTATTTCACTGGAACTCTAGAATACAACAGTATTTAGTACACTATTCTCACTTAAAAACACACATATATATGTATATATAAATATATTTATTAAAATTAAATTATTTACTAAGTAACAAACCTCGACTATACTATTCTCGTCTCTTTCATTTTCAGATTCTGTATCAAAAATTGATGGAATTGCATCTTGTTTCAATAAATTCTTTCCTGTTGGTGTGAGTGGTCGAAAAAGATTTTTTGAAAAATGTACACTACAAATACATGCATTTCGTTGTACAGGCAATGTTATTAAGTTTGGTGGAATTGCTTCCAACCACTTGTATTTGAGAGTGTTCGTACGGGGAAATCTATAGAAAAGAAACACGACAAAGTATTGTATATAACCTATAAGTATATAATCTAGGTTTATCGCGTGTAAACTTTGTAAAGTATTTATGCTATCTGAAGAAAATAATACTCTAATTTGCTTACTTGTATAATGATAAATTCATATCTTTATCACGTGTCTTAAGACAATTTTTTATACAACATTCTCTTCCCATTTTTGATAGATACACTTTTTGGTTGTCACCACTATACGAGAACAAATCTGAATCAATGTTTTCAGCCACGGTAGTTGACGTTAAAAAGAGACATCACCATTCCCATTCAACTATCTCTCTCTGACCGCTCGATCCTATGGAGGGGGTAGGCAGTGCTCCTTCCAGTATGGTTAAGCCGCAGTTTCACGCAGCGAGTAAAGCCTATCACACAATGCCAGGCAACAGGCAACAGGAACAGGGAATAGAATTTCTGACGCGTTGGATTCGTCGGAAATTTTCTACCAACCAATCCAACGCGTCAGAAATTCTATTCCCTGTTCCTGTTGCCTGTTGCCTGGCATTGTGTGATAGGCTTAAAAGCTGGCGTTTTACCCCCACTCCACCGCCACGCAAAGCAGCGTTAAAAAGCTGTTTGCTATCGCCTCTATCCTTTTCATGTAGCGAATAGAAGCTCATTTCATCACAACGCAAAACAAGCGTTAAAAAGCAACGATTGCTAAGTACATTACCTGATATAACCGCAACTGCAACATAAAAATGGAGTTGGAATATTATAATCAATACATCGAGTACGTAAAATATTATAAACATTAAGTGGCAGTTATAGCTCAAATTAGAAGACGACGTATAGCTGCTGCAGTTGCTGCGATGTGTTTGATAAATGAAAAAGAAATAAATATAAGAAATATAATTATTAATACAATATAACAAAATTAATCTATCTTATATAAATAAATAAGAAACAAAGAGCAGTCTAACCTACAAGTATGTTTGCATATGTTTGCTGTATGTATATAATATGTACTAACTTCGTTTATATTTTTGGGTGCTGTCAATTGATTAAATCCTTCAGCCATAATTTCTTTTTTATACACTTTTAAGTAAAATAATTTAAATTTAAGTAAAATAATAAAAATTTTAATTTAGCAATCTATAAACAATTGTTTTTTATAATATTAAAATAAGAAAAATTGAAATTATTAAATTTATTAATTTATTTATTTTTAAATTAAATTTTTTAATTAATAACAACTCTTATTTAATTTAAAACAGCAATTAAATTTCCTGTTAATTATAACTTATTATACTTTTTAAATTTACATATTTTTATTTTTAAGTACCTATAATAATACTGACAAATCCAGTATTTCTTACTGCTATTGATCCTTTTTGGCCCGTCCATGACATTCTTTGGGCCACCTTGTCATGTACACTCAGCCGCAAAAAAGCAGTACACTAAAAACTTGGGAGAAATTTACCAAATTTCAAATGATCGTAACTTGGTAAATAATAAAGATAAAAATAAGTACAAGAATGGAAAATGAAGCTCCGAATGTCCTCTTTAAGAATATTTGAATGGCTATTACGCTCGGCCATTTTTTGCAAAATGACGAATGATAAAGTGAGAGGATGCAAAATTGATAATCAAATGTCCGGGTTTGCAACGGTGCATGGCGTGAATCAGGGGCCCGATTCTCGAAATCATTCGAAGAAGAAACATATACGAATATTCTGCTCTGACAGAAAAGATGCAAGTCGATTGGTTAAAGCCATGCGAATAGCCAATCAACTTACAACTTTTCTGTGAGAGCAGAATTTTCGCATACGTTTCTCCTTCGAATAAATTCAAGAATTGAGCCCCAGGTATCACAGCCTAATATGACGAAGTGTACATGAAAGCATAGGGTGTTAGCTTTAAAATGCTTTTTTATTGAGCTCGAGACGATCATTTTTCGCGGAGTTATGCACATTACATCGTTTGTACCCGTTTGTACTACCATTAATAATGGTATACAAACCATTATATATACAAACCATTTAAATAAAAAAATCGTATACAAAAATGATACAAACGATGCTCTTTTGAATGGCGTAATTAGATTTCAAACGTCTTAAAGTGGGGTGCTGGCGATCATTTTTTCACCCTTTCGTAACTTCATCCCTTTGAGGTACAAACGAAATGAATGGTGGTACAAACAGGTACAAACGATGCTTTTTCGAATGCATATAAAAAAAATTTTTTAAATTAAAGTCGGGTGCTAAGTTCACCCAGGTCCGAACGTACCAGCTGTAAAATGCGCAGTCTATCTACATAAGTTTATGGGTCAAATCTACCGCAACGACTCCTAGCGGCTACTAGAGAATTAAGAAATCGCGTTACTATTATAAGCGATTTTCCTCTACGGCTCTACCACCAGTGTCGTGCATGTACATATATACGTACGACCGTGGTGTGGACAAAATGATCTGAATTTAAATACGTAGTGAAAAGTGAACGTACAGTGATAATACAAAATAATACGTGTAAATAAGGAAAACACGTTGAATTGTAACAAAATCGTTTCCGAAACTGAAATGATTATGGCGTAGTTCTCAAAAGAATGTACTCTGTCCTTCTCTGTGTCCAACGAGATAAAATGTTTGCACAAGTATATCAGTGAATCATGGATTATCTTATGAATATGTGACTGGCATTATCTTACCGTTCTTATTGCGTCGTTTCAATGTGTACGCGACTACGCAATTAACGCGTTAAACGGGATAACCTTGATGACACAAACCTCAGTTACATCCCAGTGCACTTTGCCCAGAACGTAATCATTTCGACGTTGGCTGCATTATTGTGAAGGACATATGCTGTGAAAAGAAAATGAGTTGGCTACCGAGCAATCCATTGCGACCGAAAAAGCAGCGATCCCGAGACTCGCCACCGAAAGATGCTGATCCATCCGCATGTTACGATAGCTTTTGTAAACACTCGCAGCAGATTTACGAAATTATTCTGCATTCCTTAGTAAGAGCAACTATTTTTAGAGCTTTCCTCATTTTGTTGCTTTAAAATTTGCATTCCTCTCCAGTCAATATGTGTTTGTCTAAAAGATGTCTCTTATCTAGCAAGTGAATTGTCTGCAATATGTGTTTGTCTAAAAGATATCTCTCTTATTTAATAAGTAAATTATCTGCAATATCGTAGCAGATTGGCAGTAAATCTCAGATGTTGCAACAGATTCGGTATCTGTGTCTGCAATTAAACTTGTATTTTGCTGGCAGACCTTGCAAATGTAATTTTACAGCCTATTGTCAAAAATTAAGTAGAATCCATTATCTTGTAAACAGTTAAATGTAATACATCATTTAGATGGTTATAGAAATGGCAGATTTTGTTCTCAGTCTCTGCAATTGGTCATACTCTATTAACCCTTTGCACTCCGAATTATATTTCATCTATTGGTTTGGACTTGGAAAAAATGTCGAGTGAGACTCGACAAAGGAGCTCCTGAGATAAAAACTGATGTCGAGTCACACTCGACATAGGAGTGCAAAGGGTTAATAGAATCTCTTATATTTCTATTAATATTCTATTGACAAAATTTGTAGCAAACGCCTGAAAAATCTGTTCTCTACAAATTTGGCTATCCAGGCTAATCTTTAAGACCTCATAAAGAAAGATTCTGAAGAGACTTTAAGATTTTCTGAGAAGACATATCTGAAAGTTATGTTTTATAAGATATATTTTGGAACATATGTATAGCTATTTGTGTTATTGACAAACATTTCATTACTAAAACTATGACATGGTTAATCTACGTGTAACGTAACGTACAAAATATTTAGTACGAGTTAATAAAATAGATGCAAATAGATCATTATGAAAAAAATTGGGATTAAATCAATCTTTAAAAAAGATATTAAAAATAAAATATTAATTTATTACAAATACGGGGAAAATAATGTAACACGAAAATAATAAAAGAAATTATCTAGACATAAAGATGTGTCAGATAACTTTACAAGTTCAAGGAACTTTTATTTTTAAAAATTGCCAGTTAAAATCCGACCATTTGATTTGAATTTTATTATTCTTTGTCACAAAATAATTAAGGAACTTTTCAGAAATGCCTTGATCCTTTTGTTCTTATGTTTATCATTGTTCTTCCCAGATAGCCAGTATGCTCAAGCAATGTATGGAAATAAAATGCCAGCAACTGATGCTGGCTCTTTGCTGGGAATATGAATTCAATGTTTGAGTGCCCTTACGAAAAAGTAACGAAATAATTACTAGAAAATTACTGTATATCAGTAATTGAACTATCAGAAATTACTGATGTACAGTAATTTTCTAATAATTATTTCGGTGCTTTTCCGTAAGGGTGATTTAAGTACAGCTAGCATAATGTTAACATATTGTCGTAGTTAAATACACAGCTAAAGAGAGAACACATCGAATAGGCATACTGTTAACAAAGAATTAGCATATATTGTTTTCAATTTTCTAACAGATATAAACATGTTATAACTATTACATCTGACCAAGCACTTAATGCTAGCATAATGTTTGAATCATGCAAATGTTTCATTTCCGACACCAAATGCTAGCAAACAACAGCACAATAAACGATATAGATGCATAGCAAGATGCTAACATTTTTCTTAGCAATGTGGAAGCAACTTGTGCTCACACTGGCTATCCGGGTAGTCATATGCATTTAAAATTTTGAAATGAAATATTACTGATACCTTAATTTCTATATCTGTGAATATACATAATAGTTTTTTTAATCTTGCATACATTGTTTTAGTACATAATTGGTATTTATGTATTGAAAAATCAAAGCTATGAAAAAATCACGGGTATTTTTACAATAGCAATGTAGGGCATTAAAATATACGAAAAAAGATGTAGTCCAGGCAATAGAAGGTTTTACCTTGCAAAAGGTCAAGGAAACTTTATACTTGGCATAGTTCTTAGGTTTAGCATAC